CCAAGTCGCTTTACAAGTAATAGGGCAAAAACAAGATAACAAAAGTCAGACAGACGAAAACAACAGATGGATTTAGGGGCCGAAAGCCTTGGCAGACAGAAGGGACTTGAGGCCCTTTTGAAGGCGTCGAGTGTGGGGATGTTGCGAATCACCGCAGGGAGAGCGTTCCAGAGGGTGGGGGCTGCCACGCTGAAGGCTCTGTCCCCGAAGGTTCACAGGTTGGTGCGGGGGGTGGTGAGCAGGCCAGAGTCTGAGGGCATGTGGGTGAAGGATGTCCGATAGGTACTGGGGGGCAAGGGCATGGAGGGACTTGTAGGTAAGGAGGAGGACTTTGTAGGATATGCGGGACTTGACCGGCAACCAGTGTAGGTGGATGAGGGTGGGAGTGATGGGCTGCCACGGCTTTGTGTGTGTGAGGACCCTAGCAGCACAGTTTTGGACATACTGGAGCCTGTCCGGGGTTTTGTTGGGAACCCCGAACAGGACACCATTGCAGTCGTCCAAGCGGGTGGTGACAAACGCATGCACTAGGGTTTCGGCAAGTTATGCTATATTTAGATTACTTTCACACCTTTCCGACCTCCCTGACAGGCACCATTATATGTGCTCTCTTAAGGAACATTTGTCTACTGATGCCTTTATTTGTTTGCGTTTTTATTTGACTTTTAAGAATCTGTTTAATAACACCTTAGTCACACAAACACAAACTTTCTCAAGGGAGAACTATACGAGCGCCTGAGAGGTTAAAGCACAGTTTCTGTGAATGCAGTCTGGTGGTTTTAAAGAAAGGTAACAGCTTCAGTTCCCCGTAGGAAGCATCCACTCTGTAGTTGTCTGACAGAAAGGTATAGTGGTGAATATAATCTGAATATAGGTTACAGTTAAATTAAGACATATGTTTCAGTAGGCTCAAATATGCTGCTCATGTCAATAAAAGCCCATTGTTTAGTTTTAGTGAAGTTACTTCTATCCGATCCTCCAAACTAAGGCGTGCAGACTCTCTACTGTCGACTACAGGCAAGTATTTCATGAAACCCCCACTTTAATTAAATATATCTCTCGTCCTCACTTGATCATCTCGAAGAGCCGGTGGTCGGACACCTTGATGTTCCTCGCCATGTTCCAGGAGAGGTGGATCATGGGGACGATGGACTTGACGCTCTGCAGTTTGTTCCACTCGTAGCGCTCCACGGCCAGCTTGTACTGATGTGCTGAGGACGAAACGAGAGAGAACATCTGTGTAAAAGGATATAATACAGTAGAGGCAGTGGTCAAAATAATCGACGTATTTCCTTCCCAGTTCCTCAAAGTCCAAGGTAATGCTTTTCTTGTTTTGTCAGTCCAAAACTTAAAACATATTTACTTTGTTATCCTATAAAACAGAGAAAAGCTGCAAATATTGAGGCTGAAGGCGGATTTTTGTTTATTTTTAGGCATGTAAACTTACCTTTTGCAATAAATGCGTTATTGAGATAGTTGGCAAACTATCTTAAAGGTCCCATGTCATGCTTTTCTGGTTATCACCCATCCCCTTGTGTTATGAAGGTTTGTCTGCATGTGAACGGTCTGCAGAGTCACAAACCCTCAAAGTACACCCTGTAGCGAGTAAAACCCTAACACAGAGAAGACCTGTCTGTGCTGCCCCAGAACGCCTCGTTGGACATTTCTCTTTCTCCATTCTTTGCTTCCTGGGTTCTGTGACGTGTGAACTCCCAGATCAACAACAATTGACCGGATTGGCCCAAATGGACCAATCCGCGGAGCACCTCACACACCAGGACCCCTTGGCCAACTAACAGGGAGTCCCATTGACTTGCATAGAGCTCCCTGGTTGGTAATAGACGAGTTGGGATGGTGGAGAAATGCTCTCCGCAGACCCATTCTCACAGCGTGATAAACCTTTTTCTTACTCAATATCAAGCCACACTTATTGTGTTTACTTCGGCTGTGAGTGTGTGTGTGTGTGTGTGTGTGCTCAGGATGAGTTTCGCTTGTTCTCGCCGACCCGGAAACCTGTCCGCTCCTCACAGCGGCTCGCAGCAATGAGCCTCTCAACGTCCCGACCAATCAGAGCACACTGGGCTCACAGGGAGGGGCGGAGCTCCAACAAGCCGTTTAGGACAGAGAGTGAATACACAGACTATACAGAGATGCTGTGAGAAACCAATGTGATTTGGAACATTGAACAATGTAAATCTATTCTAGTCGACCTCAGCAATGGAACTATGATCAGTAGAAATGACCATGACATGGGACCTTTAAGAGTAAATGTGATATTCAGTTCTTTACAGTGAGGACAGAGCAACATTTTGTTCATGTATGTCTGTAAGACGTTGCTTTTGTCGGGACCCCCGTTAAAACGAGATGGTGCATCTAAAAAGGGATTTATCCTAATACATATATATTACCTGTGAGGGGTCCCACGTTCCAGGCGATGTTGTTGCACCAGCCGATGGCCTGCACCCAGTGCACGGTGCCGGTGTTCAGCCACACCAGGTCTCCAGGTCTCTGGATGAAGCGGTACACGGGGACGTTGCTCTCGTACAGATCCTCCAGGTTCGGCCACCACGAGCCCATCAGGAAGTTGATGTTGTTCCTGAGAGAGAAAGAAGGGAGGGGGAGTGTACAGATATGTTATTGGGGAAAGCTATAACGGAGATTGGCCAGCGAACTACAACGACCTCAGATCGTGGTTGTCTTATTAAGTTTCTAAAGTCGTTGAAGCGGCTAAATGTGACGGCATATGCACTTATCTCATTGAATGTACACAATATCTGTTTGTTTTTATGTTACTGCACATATTTTATTCCATTCTACTTCAATGTAAATACAGCTATATTTTGTGTTATTTATTTATGTTATTATCGTTTACTTAAAATAGTTTTCTATCTGTTTTTAATTGTTGTTTTACTTTTATGTATGCTCCACGACATCAACTCAAATTCCTCGTACGTGTCAACCCACCTGGTAATAAATCTGATTCTGAAAACATTACAAAAAATAAGCTTGTTTTTAGAAAAAGACACACAATGTGGACTCACAGATAAAGCATCACCTTTCAACACAAGGCAATTCAAAGTGCTTTACACAATGAAAGACATTAAGAGCATTAAGAAACATATCATAACTGGCTTTAAAGACACTCATTTAAAAGCAAGTACACAGGCACCTGAATAAAAGTGAAAGTGCAGTGTGTTATAATGTCTCACTTTTCACAGAAGTCGTTGACGACGCCCCAGTACGCTTCAGGAACAGCGAACCACTCGCAGTCTCCAGGACCGATGTTGATGTTTACTGAGCAGAAGTTGTTGTTCTCCTGGTGACCTGCGACAGAGAACAATATGTTGTTAGTAACTGTGTGAGGAAATACAGACAACTGCTGTTCATACTGACTGATTACAAAAACGAAAATGGAGGACTTTTTCACGCAACATTTTTCCATTTTGAATGAATGATCCAGCTGGAAAGAAATGTGGAACATGACACATGACAAGGGATGGGTCGTTAAGGTTTTAACGGTACTACTACTTTTATCGGTACCGCTTATCGATCCGGTCTTTTAACGGTACTCTTATCGGTTCTTTAAAAAAACAAAAAAGGTAAACTAACCAAACAAATTGTGAACAAATCAAATCAAGTTTTATTTATAAAGCACATTTATAAACGATTGTTGGTGGAGCCAAAGTGCTGTACATAAAATAAAAATAGCCTACAGTAGAGACACTTTACAGCAAATACAACAGCACAGATTGTTCAGAATATCAGTATGAGAAAAACGACACTAACATTGCTTTTTATTTAAATTAAATACATAATATTTCACATCAAAAGAAACAACAATGTTTTAACAAATCGTATTAAATAATCTGAAGACAGAACTGTTAACAGAATAGCTGAAACTTTGCTTTGCTTGCTGCTAGCACACATAACACCTGACGTGGAAACGTTACTCGTGGATGGAGCTACAGAGCTGCTAGAAAGACAGTGGAACCCGGTGCATTCCTCCGTCTGAATGTGAAGCACTTTTGCTAAATGTTTAGACACATTGCTCGTGTTACCGCCCTCACATGCTAAACTCTTATTGCACTTTTGCAACGAGCATCGAGACGGGTAAAGTTTAACCACCTCGGAGCGCGTTCTCTCCGCCATCTACTCCGTGTGTGTGTTGCTGCATGTAGCAGCTGCGTGTGTGTAAACTGCCCCGCCCCCTCGCACAGACGGGGGAGAGAGATCTCTCGTCTGGATTGGAAAGATCGAAAAATACGCATTTTGTAGTCTTATTGCGTATTAGACACTAAAACTGCAATATAATGTTTGTGTAGCAATAATACATACGACATATATTGTTTACATGTCTCCAGTATCGATAAAAAGACCGATAACGTCGGAGCTTAACGGTACCACGGTCTTTAATAATTCAGCCCCGGGGCCCGTTTAATACCGAGGCGCGGTACCCATCCCTACACATGACGCACGCTATGCATGAAGGATAGAAGGAAGAAGGGGAGGACATCCTAGTATTTCTGAAGCTTGGAATAGCTGCCTTTCTTATGTCTCAGAAACTTTCCAAATAAAAAAATAAATACTTAATCGGTAAAACTCATATTTTGTGATATTTTCAAAATAATCCCACTTTCTATTGGTATCGATATCTTGCTTTGTATGACAGAAGTTGTGAATCGATTCAGAAATGTATAACATGGAAATCCCTGATGATACACACATTGATCTAGTAGCCAGTAGCTGGTATAATCAATAACACCATCATCAAAAAGGGAGTTGATTGTATTTTTAGGGACATTTCATACCCATAAAGAAATAGGCTGACTCCAAACCAAATTTTGTGCATTTCTATCAAGAATTTAAACAATATATTAGCACTATTAAAAACATTAGGAATAAGAAGGCAATACAAACTAAGGAGTTCAAGTATCTCGGGGTCTTGTTCTCGAGTGAGGGAACAATGGAGCGTGAGATGGGCCGGAGAATCGGAGCAGCGGGAGCGGTACTGCAGTCGCTTTACCGCACCGTTGTGACGAAAAGAGAGCTGAGCCAGAAGGCAAAGCTCTCTGTCTACCGGGCCATTTTCGTTCCTACCCTCACCTATGGTCATGAAGGATGGGTCATGACCGAAAGAATGAGATCGCAGATACAAGCGGCCGAGATGGGTTTTCTCCGCAGGGTGGCTGGCGTCTCCCTTAGGGATAAGGTGAGAAGTTCAGTCATCAGGGAGGGACTCGGAGTTGAACCGCTCCTCCTTCGCGTCGAAAGGAGCCAGTTGAGGTGGTTCGGGCACCTAGTTAGGATGCCACCTGGGCGCCTCCCTAGGGAGGTGTTCCAGGCACGTCCAGCTGGGAAGAGACCAAGGGGTAGACCTAGGACCAGGCGGAGGGATTATATCTCTTCGCTGGCCTGGGAGCGCCTTGGGATCCCCCAGTCAGAGCTGGTTGATGAGGGGAAAGGAACGTTTGGGGCTCTCTGCTGGAACTGCTACCCGAGACCCGACCACGGATAAGGGGAGAAGATGGATGGATGGATGAAAATGTAGTTTTCTTTCCTTTTTTCTTTGTTTCTGTATTTAATGTGTACGGTCGGAGGCGTGTGGTGCAGTGGGTTGTGTGTTGGTGTTGGGATCAGGGGAGCACAGGTTCAAACCCCACTGCAGTCAGCATGTCGTCACCCCAAAGTGCTCCTGTGGGGATTGTCCACAGTATTGATTATGTCTGGACTGCCCCTGGACTTTGTTGTATGTATGATGTTCATGTATGATATTGAATAGATGAATATAAAATCAAAACCCTTTGCCCAAACATGTTTTATCGTTCCTCTCCAGATGCGTACCTGGTGTCCGGCTGCCGGGGACCTTCATGTAGAGCTGCACCGTGTTCATGCCAAGGATGGTGTGACCAACATGACTCAGCAGATTACCAGCTGACACAACACGAGCAAATGCTGGAAGTTTAGACAACTCCTGCAGCTGCTGCTTCCACCTGAGACGGTTAAAGAGTGACAGGTTAACGAGGGTTAAAGAGTGACAGGTTAACGAGGGTTAAAGAGTGACAGGTTAACGAGGGACAGGTTGTTAACGAGTGACGGGTTAACGAGCGACAGGTTAACGAACGACAGGTTAACGAAGGTTAACAAGGGTTAAAGAGTGACAGGTTCACGAGGGTTAATGAGGGATGGGTTAACGAGTGACGGGTTTACGAGGGATGGGTTAACGAAGGTTAAAGAGGGACGGGTTAACGAGGGTTGAAGAGGGCCGGGTTAACGAGTGACGGGTTAACGAGGGATGGGTTAACGAGTGACAGGTTAACAAGTGACAGGTTAAAGAGTGATGGGTTAACGAAGGTTAACAAGGGTTAAAGAGTGACAGGTTAACGAGGGTTAAAGAGGGACGGGTTAACGAGGGACGGGTTAACAAAGGACAGGTTAACCAGGGACAGGTTAACGAGGGACAGGTTAACGAAGGACAGGTTAACGAGGGACAGGTTAACGAGGGACAGGTTAACGAGGGTTAAAGAGGGACGGGTTAACGAGGGTTGAAGAGGGACGGGTTAACGAGTGACGGGTTAACGAGTGACGGATTAACGAGGGATGGGTTAACGAAGGTTAACAAGGGTTAAAGAGTGACAGGTTAACGAGGGTTAAAGAGGGACGGGTTAACGAGGGACAGGTTAACAAAGGACAGGTTAACGAGGGACAGGTTAACAAAGGACAGGTTAACGAGGGACAGGTTAACAAAGGACAGGTTAACGAGGGACAGGTTAATGAGGGTTAACAAGTGACAGGTTAACGAGTGACAGGTTAACGAGGGACAGGTTAACGAGGGACAGGTTAACGAGGGTTAACGAGTGATAGGTTAACGAGTGACAGGTTAACGAGGGTTAACGAGTGACAGGTTCACGAGGGTTAACGAGTGACAGGTTAACGAGGGTTAATGAGTGACTGGTTAACGAGGGTTAACGAGGGACAGGTTGACGAGTGACAGGTTAACCAGGGTTAATGAGTGACTGGTTAACGAGGGTTAACGAGTGATAGGTTAACAAGGGTTAACGAGGGACAGGTTAACGAGGTTTAACAAGTGACAGGTTAACGAGGGTGAACGAGTGATAGGTTCACGAGGGTTAACGAGTAACAGGTTGACGAGTGACAGGTTAACGAGGGTTAACGAGAGGTAGGTTAAGGAGGGACAGGTTCACGAGGGTGAACGAGTGATAGGTTCACGAGGGTTAATGAGGGACAGGTTAACGAGGGTTAACGAGTGATAGGTTAACAAGGGTTAACGAGGGACAGGTTAAGGAGGGACAGGTTAACGAGGGTTAACGAGTGATAGGTTAACGAGTGACAGGTTAACGAGGGTTGACGAGTGACTGGTTAACGAGGGACAGGTTCACGAGGGTTAACGAGTGACAGGTTGACGAGTGACAGGTTAACGAGTGACAGGTTAACGAGGGTTGACGAGGGTTGACGAGTGACAGGTTAACGAGGGATAGGTTCACGAGGGTTAACGAGTGACAGGTTGACGAGTGACAGGTTAACGAGGGATAGGTTCACGAGGGTTAACGAGTGACAGGTTGACGAGTGACAGGTTAACGAGTGACAGGTTAACGAGGGTTTAAGAGTGGTTTAAGAGGTTAATGAGGGACAGGTATCACCTTCTCCCAACAAGAGATACTGCATACAGAGAGGAGGGTTTATGGAGCCAGATCAGAGGCGGGAACTCACTTCTTTTCATCCGACAGGTCGATGTTGGTGCCGAACTTCAGGTGTTTGAACGAGCCTTTCCTCCGTCGCAGCGCACTAATAAAGAATAGGGGTTTCATTTAGAAACAGAAACAACATGCAGCACTGAAACCTAATTAATAACAACAAGCAAAACAGCTGTACCGTTTCGAGTGACGTATATTTTATGGTATTACTATGTATTGTGCTGTTTATTTGCACTACACTGTACACGTAAAGCCCCAATAGAGCGATATCAGTAACTATCTTAGCAGCATGCTCTATATCTGAACTATACGTTAGATAGCAACGTCTTGATCAAATAAAACAAAGTCAAAACTCTGAGAATCTTAACTTAAAGAGACATAAAGGAAAAGCAACCTCACCTGTCTGATGAAGATGCGTCCGTGTCCATCTCCTTCTTCTTATTCTCATTCTCCTCCTGTCACAAAAACATTGATGTATTAGAAACTCTTAAGCTAGCTGAATATCAATTGTTCAGTACAGTTTAAATGTGATCTTTGAAAGGAATTGGCACTATATTCTGGACCTAATGCTATCAGATCTTGGCGGCTGGTTAAAAATGTAGTAAAGGATTATTTTGGGGGGTGATTTGCACAATAGCTACAGCGTAGTTTAGGATATATAACTCTTATGACTCAGCTTTCTTTAGCAATGCAACATACAATATATATATAAAATATAGATGACTTAGAAATGCAAGAAGAAGTAAGGTCGAATGTGATCAAGCCAGTTGTGTTAAAACGCTCTGTGCAATTAAATACTGTTTGTCTGTGTGTGTGTGTGTGTGTGTGTGTGTCTGTATGTCTGTTTTATATATATGCAGTGTGTGTGTGTGTCTGTCTGTCTGTACAGTGTGTGTGTGTGTGTGTGTGTGTGTGTGTGTGTGTGTGTGTGTGTGTGTCTGTCTGTGTGTATATATAAGCAGTGTGTGTGTGTATATGCAGTGTGTGTGTGTATATATATGCAGTGTGTGTGTATATATATATATGCAGTGTGTGTGTGTATATATATGCAGTGTGTGTGTGTATATATATGCAGTGTGTGTGTGTATATATGCAGTGTGTGTGTATATGCAGTGTGTGTGTGTGTGTGTGTGTGTGTGTGTGTGTCTCTGTGTGTGTGTGTATATATGCAGTGTGTGTGTGTGTGTGTGTGTCTCTGTCTGTGTCTGTCTGTCTGTCTGTCTGTCTGTGTGTGTGTGTGTGTGTGTTTATATGCAGTGTGTGTGTGTGTGTGTGTGTGTGTGTGTGTGTGTGTGTGTGTGTGTGTGTGTGTGTGTGTGTGAGTCTCACTGACCCTCAGAGACTCCTGGAATGAGGAGGCTTGGTACTGGGCGTATCTGATGACGGTGGTGTGTGAGCGGCTGCTCTCGCAGCGCCACATCTTCTTTCCTCCGCTCTGGTCCCAGTTCTCGTCTCCGGGCTGAGCGAGCTGCGTGCGGACCTCCACCAGGTGGTCGGGGTTCGCCTCCACCAGGGTCTTCGTGGAGAACAGACCCAGATCTGAGGGGAAGCAGAGGGGGGAGTTAGGTATCATGTTAAAGGAACAAAAGATTTGTTCAAATAACGCTCATTTTAATGATAATAATGTGTGTGATTTCTATTCCTAAGATCTTTATTTCTTTATTAATATTAAGCCGCTTTACTTTTGCTGTAGCAATGTCCTCTCCTCTGTGGGACTAGAAAGGTATTCTGATTAATTGCCCATTTAAATTGACTTTAATTAAACTGTTTCTTTGGCACCTGGGAATAAAACAGCACTCACCATACACAGCACAACATATAGAAAAAGTAAATATTTGTTTATGTTTTGCTATCGCTACTACAGAAGGAGATTAGAGCAGCTATAGTTATTTAACTATATTATGGATAGTTCCCATAGTCTTATAAATGCACAGCTGGGAAATAAAGTGTATATAATTTTAATCTAGAGTAAATCTAATTATGTCATTACATACAAAAATGTAATAAATGTAACTAATTAGCGTTACTAATCAAATTGCTTTAAACGTTCAAATAAATTATTTTTGGCGGAAAGCTTTTCTTACTAGATATTCAGTTGCTCTTTTCCAATCCTAATTCAAGTAATATTATAGTAATAAAGACTCACAGTAATCAGTGTAGAGTAATCCTGTGAGGAACCTTGTGTTTTATAAAAATGTCTTTTATGACTTTAGTGCTCATTTTAAATCTAATTTGATAAAGAAAAGTGTAATAGGTTGCATTACTTTGATACAATAAATACATTAGATGGGGTGACAAAGCATTGAATTAGCCTTCCCACACCTTCATTAGTGAACCAGTGTTAGAGGGTTTGTTGTAAGCCGTGTTGTTCTGTGTTTATTTGATTACTTAACTCTCTAATAAACGCACGGGGTTAAACTGCAGATCACAGGATTACATAACACAGCTGTGAGTCGGAGTATCAGAAGAGCAGATGTTTGATATCTACTTCTCCAACAGGTGCAGTAACTGCTTCCATATGCAGGTGGTGCTGTCGTTCTACATGTCAACTGTACACACACACCATGATCACAGAGACACACCCACAGAGCCATGTGAGAGCACACACACACACTCCATGACCACAGAGACACACCCACAGAGCCATGTGAGAGCACACACACACACACAGAGCCATGTGAGACCACACACACACACACACACACACACACACACACACACACACACACACACACACACACACACACACACACACACACACACACACACACACACACACACACACACACACACACACACACACACACACACACACACACACACACACACACACACACACACACACACACACACAGAGCCATGTGAGACCACACACACACTCAGAGCCATGTGAGACCACACACACACACACACTGCATGACCACAGAGACACACCCACAGAGCCATGTGCGAGTACACACACACACGCATGACCACAGAGACACACCCACAGAGCCATGTGAGAGTACACACACACACACCACACACACACACACACACACACACACACACACACACACACACACACACAACACACACACACACACACACACACACACACACACACACACACACACACACACACACACACACACACACACACACACACACACACACACACACACACACACACACACACACACACACACACACACACACACACACACAGAGCCATGTGAGAGTACACACACACACACCAGAGTTCCCGTTAGAATATTTTTTCGCCGGTCAAAATGTCCGTTAAAGTTTAAATCTTCCGGACAAAATGAGAAAAGTGCCGGTCAAAGGTCTTCTTTGTTATTTATTGAGCTTTAAAACAAATTGATATGATTCGATATTAAACAAACTAATTATAGTAGATTAACTACATTATTCAAAAGTGAACAGTAATTTATAATAACACGGGAATAATAAACGGAGCGCTCTCTCCTGACAGCCCGTCAGTCTCATGCAGCTCGCGGATCAGTCATGAGTAGGGTTGGGTATCGTTTGAATTTCCAACGAAATTTCGATTCTGATTCTACTTTTCGATTCCGGTTCTTAACGGGTCTCAATTCCGATTATTTGAGGTGCAGGGTAAACAAATGATACATGCTTCTTCCACCAAAAAAATTACATTTATTCGAGAAACTTTTACACAGGTTAGTTTACAGTAATATTCACATTCATCAGTTTGTTTATATTCACTGCTATGTAACTGTAACCTGAGAACCACTGAAGCTACAACAGTCCAACTTTTAAAGGAACCCCCCCCCCCCCATTTAAAAACAGTTCTTGTTGAGAAAAACAAGCATCTGCCTCTCAGGCATACCGGGAAGAAATGTTTGAACATTTTAAAGTAAAATGCTTCAATCTGGTGCACTTTAAGCAGAATGACTAGAGACTAGATCTAGGGGGTACAACTCTAAACATCCATATGAAAAAGATCGGTTTACATTTTAATAATTAAATAAGTATGTGAACATAACCAATAACCTACCATAGCCAATAGCAAATACATGTAACGTGTTTTATTTTTGTTGTTCATTCATATCTTATTTTACTATTTTATTTATGCATATTTTCGTATCTCTCCAGTTTAAAACGATATGTCTGGTTTACTGTCCTATAGTATACATTGGAATGATTTCAAACCTGTTTCATCCCAATAATTATAAAGGAGTGCTTTGGAAATATGTGTTTACATAAATTGTGATCAAAACGTTTGAGACCCACTGAGATAACTTAGACTAAAGTGAACTATCTAAACACTCAGAGTCCTTTACCTCACTGAGCTGTAGTTATCAGCCTCTCAGTCTGACTGGAGAGGACTCTCCCTCCACATCATTGTAGAAACATCTTCTTCTTCCGTTAGAGCAGCTAGCACCAGATGCTAATAACAACAGCGCTGGTACCGGTGCACCCTCCCTTTCTCCCTCGCTCGCTCCCACGCTCACTCGCACTTTGGCTGTGAGCTGCGGGTGCCAGATAAGCCAACATCCCCCATTTTCATCACTTACAGCGCCCATCGTACAGGGCAAATGAAAAGTGTAACCGGGGTGAAAAGAGTGTTACATTTACTTAATTATGAATGTTGTTACATCAAGAACGAAACATAGGATGAGCACCAACGGTCAAAACATTTTGTTTTCCTCCCAGAGCTGTCAGCGCAGCGCCTCCACAGATCTGGCGCCCTAGGCGAACATCTATAACGCCAGTGCGACGGGCCGGCCCTGGTCCCAGGTTACGCTGTAGGAAGTGTAGGTACAACGCTACATTTCCCCCCCCACCCCCGCCGCAGTCATACAGTAGGCTACGGAGCGGCGAGAAACATTTCCTCAGGCATCGAAAAGCGGAACCGAAATCCACATTTCTAAATGATGCCGTTGGAATCGAAATGTTGGAACCGGTTCCGAACCGGAACCGGTTCTCGGTACCCCAACCCTAGTAATGAGTGACCCGACAGTAAAACTAAACATATCTATAACTAGTTACGGTAGTTTGAGAGGTCATTAAAATAGCTATGTGTGATATTCTAACCTGGTGTGTGCATTTGTTTACATGCCCACCGGAACCCCGAGGCATTACCAACAGATCAACGCACAATCAACCCACACAGGACATCTCTTTCTCCACATTACGTGTTAGACATTAGAATTGACTATTCTTGTCTGTCACATACTCTTGTCTGTCACATACGTGGTGCAAGTTGTGCAACTGATGCGTTATTGCGCTAAGCGGAAATGATTTTGAACGGACACTTTGACCGGAGAGATTTAGATTTGCCGGTCTTCAGCATATTTTACCGGTCGTAGTCCGGTAATTACCGGCTAACGGGAACTCTGACACACACACTCCATGATCACAGAGACACACCCACAGAGCCATGTGAGAGTACACCCACACACACACACAGACAGACAGACAGACAGACAGACAGACACACAGACAGACAGACAGAGATACGGACAGACAGACAGACAGACAGACAGACAGACAGTTAAAACAAAAACACTTTTAGCTGCTTCCAACACACAAACGCCGTTTAAAGTGTTTTAATCTTCTTACCCAGTTTGAGCGCTCCTGCCAGTCCTCTGATGACGGTGACGGGGTTTGAAGGGTTGGTGCAGAACTGATGGAGGGGGGGGGAAGAAGGCGTCCCTCTTGTTTTCCAGCTGCACGTCAGAGAGGAGGAATCATAAGTCAGTTAACTCCACACTATGATGCTGAAGCTAAGATGCTATGAATCTAACATTAAAGGGCAACGGCCCGTTTGGCCTCTTTGGCTGACCTGCCCCTCTGGAGAGAGCGAGACCTTGTTTTGTCTGTTGTGGCCGAATCAACATGATGAGCCCACAATCAGTATCGTAGCGTCTCGCTGCGGGAAACACACTTTGTCAGCGCTGTCATCTGCCGGCGCGTTAAGACCACCTCAGTGTCGGATTTTGAAACTTGACTTTGAGTTGTCTCATGGCAGTTAGGGTATAAGGGACAAACCAGGGGACTTTACTTCCTCTTGATGCCGTCGGTCATTTACAAAAAACACCTAAATATAGCTACTTGTTGTTTTTGAGCTTCTGTCTTTCTGAGTCTTCTCATCTGTGAACTCGCTCAACGCTCGCTCTCTTCTCTTGATCGCCCTCTCACGGGTGAACAGTTCAATGTCCCGCTTCATTGTAGGATTTCTGCCATGTCTCTAATTTAGTTTGACCATCTCTGTTACTAAATTATGGAATACTAAATAAATAAGTCATTAGATACCTACCGTTACTGCGCTCATAAAGAATGATTAGAATAATGCGCATTGAACTGGGATGGATGTCCACCACTGAAACTGAGATTTTCTTTTACTTTCCTTTTTTCTGTAGAGGAAGTAAAGAAACCGAAACTCTGGATTTTGTTGTTTGAGGTGCAATATATGACTCGGCACCTTTAAGACATGAAGACACTATTATTCTCAGCTTCGCTCTAATGCAGTATTTTTATACATTACATCACATGTCACTTGTTAGACGCTTTTATCCAAAGCGACTTCCATACTCAAAACTGTGGACAATCCCCACAGGAGCACTTTGGGGTGAAGGGTCTTGAGGGACACAACGACATGCTGACTGCAGTGGGGTTTGAACCTGTGACCCCCTTAGCCCAACAGTAACGCACAACCCACTGCGCCACACGCCTCCCTATATACATGTTCTATACATAGAAGACATCAAAAAGTGCATTTTGCATGATATGGGAGACTTTCTTCTCCTTCTACGGAGCGGCTGTACTCACATAAATACTGGGCGTGGGGGGGTTGAGTTTGTCCTTTGGCAGCGGAGGAGAAGGAGGGCGGGGGGGCCGTGGAGGAGGACATTTGTCCAGGACGATGCTGCTCGTCGACAGGCCGTTCTTCCCCAGGTTCCTGCACACAGAGCGGGGAGACAGGTGAGGACAGGTGTGTGTAACACAGTGTGGATAACAGGCCAATCAACACACATGATTATTTATTTGTTGTTGTTCTTTGTTGCAATGCATGTTCCTCACAAAGGGGGCACCATTGGAAAAGTAATTAAACAGGCTTTCCAACGGTATAAGATGTATTGCCAAGAAGCATTGTTACAACAAAGAAATAATCTACCAAACACAAATGTCCTTACTTTTTGAGTTAAGTTGAATTAAGTCCTAACTGCATCCAGAGAAAATGACAAAGACTTAGACCTCACCTGGATATCTAAAAAGTGTTGACACTTACATTGACCCAGACTAACGAGAAAACAGTCGCAATTACAAAGAACAACTTTGGGACGAATTAAAGCTATTACAGGCCTTTCATGAATCCACTTTGATGCACGTTTCCATCTCATTTAGTCGTCTTGTTTGCGCCTCGTCGCCTCACCCTTCACTGAACACTGAATTATGTTACGTCATTTCACCGAGCTTCAACACACCGAACAACAAACACACTTGCTGCACAGCGATTGGACATTTGGGAGTTTGAATGAAGAGGTTAGCTTTTCTAGATGAAGACTGACGGTCTCCTCATATGACTGATGTATGGTACAAATGAAGCGTGTCAACCATTGCAAAACCAAAAGAGGAATATACGTTTTAATTTTAAATGTATGGGAGCTATTTATACAGAAAGCTTTCTGATGGCTCTTTAAATTACAAAACAAACGGACTTTCAACGGGTCAAAAACCATCAGCTGTTAATATCACCTCAGGAAAACTTTCGATGGGGAAAGGTGTCCATTCCCACATCGAATTGGAATAATAATAGACTTTAAGAAAATCCCAAAACAACAACAAAAAACAGTCTTACACACACTTAAGAGTTATTCAACCCATGGATTATAACTCTAGATAACTTCACACACACACACACACACACACACACACACACACACACACACACACACACACACACACACACACACACACACACACACACACACACACACACACACACACACACACACACACACACACACACACACACACACACACACACACACACACACACACCACACACACACACACACACACCCCACACACACACACACACACACACACACACACACACACACACACACACACACACACACACACACACACACACACACACACACACACACACACACACACACACACACACACACACACACACACACACACACACACACACACACACACACACACACACACACACACACACACACACACACACACACACTAAAAAAGGGGTTTTAACAATGCCTTTTGTTATTAACACCCCCTGAAACTTTCGATGTCCATTCCCACAATAATTTTGAAAAAAAATAGACTTCCAAAACAACCAAAAAAACCCAATAAGAATCCTAGATAGCTTCTCACCTGCACGCTTTTAGCACCTCGCTGGAGCTGGGGTAGATGGACACTGACGACCAGGGAGCCAGAACAGAGGGAGAAAGTCTCTTTTCAGCAGGGTGCTCCACTTTCATGGGGCTCTGAGACTCCTGCGGCCCCTTCCCGTTGACCTTTGGCCCCTGGGTGTTGCTTTTGGACGGGCTGTTAAGGCAGGAGAGGCTGTTGGAGGTTTGAGGATCGTGGACGTGGTTGATTTTGATTTTCTCCGAGGAAGCCCCCCCGTGGTTACTGAAGTTATTGTTGTCGTCGTTGTTGTTACTTGGCTTTTCCCTTAGCAAGGCTGAGAGCTGAGGATTGTCTGGAGAGCTGTCCGTCACCCGCGGCTGGACGTGATTAGTCGATCCCTGCGCGGGGGCGGGACTTAACGGCGTGCCTGCAGAAACTGATGGCAGAAAGTCGCCGTTTGTGGCCCCTGAAGGCGTGACGTCTTTGGTTTGGACCCCTGAGGTAGTAGAGGAGGAGCAGTAGGGGGGCGAGGACAGGTGGTGGTTGGGTGTGGTTTGGGGGGGAGGTGGGAGAGAGGGAGGAGGCGGAGGAAGAGGCAGTGCAGGGACCGGAGGAGTGGCCCACCTGATTCAGAAGTCCAGAGGAAGAGAAGGAGGGGTGAGGAGAGGAAGAGAAAGGGGGTTCTCCATTGGGACCTGCCGAATGAGAACCTTTGTGAAGCCCCTAAAGGAGAGAACGAGAGGAAACACACCATGAGACGTGCTTTCAACTAGAAAATGCATTTCCTGCTGAAAATGCGTGCGAATGCTGTGAGCTGCGTAGATTTGGTGCTGAATCTAGCTGAAAATGCAGTTTGTTGTATTAGAAGTTGTAGTAGTATAAGTAATTGTAGTAGTAGTAGTTTTATTAGAAGTTATATTAGTAGTAGTTGTGGTAGTAGTAGTAGTGGTAGTTTTATTAGAAGTTGTAGTAGTAGTAGTTGTGGTAGTAGTAGTAGTAGTAGTAGTTTTATTAGAAGTTGTAGTAGTAGTAGTTGTGGTAGTAGTAGCAGTAAAATACACAATGAGACATGCTTTCAATAATAAAAACAATGGAAGCAGCATTCTTGCAAGGATCATAAATACATGGATCCTGATTATTGAAGCTCAAGCCAGAGACCAGTGATATTTTTCTAACAGTAGTAGTAGTTGTATTAATAGTTGTATGAGTAGTAGTGGTGTTAGTAGTATAAGTAGTAGTAGTAGTTGTTGTATAAGTAGTAGTAGTAGTAGTAGTAGTAGTAGTTGTATTAGTAGTAGCAGTGGTAGTAATATAAGTAATTGTGGTAGTAGCAGTAGAATACACAATGAGACGTATTTTAAATAATAAAAATACAATGAAAGCAGATTACCAATCTGTAATGGGTGGAGCAAGTACCTGAGTGGTGTTGTTGCGCTGCTGCTGGTTCCTCCACCCGTCCTCCACAGCGCTGGGACTTCTGGGCTGAGGTAGAGAGTTCTGCTGAGGGAAAGGTAGAGAGTTCTGCTGAGGGAAAGGTAGAGAGTTCTGCTGAGGGAAAGGTAGAGAGTTCTGCTGAGGGAAAGGTAGAGAGTTCTGCTGTAGAGAGTTCTGCTGAGGGTAAGGCACGTTTCCGTTGCTCGCTCCCAGTCCCACGCTGTGGTTTTTGTCCAGGTGTCCCAATAGCGTCCCCACAGAGGAGGAGGAGGGACTAGAAGAACAGGATCCATTAGCTGTGGGCTGGGAGGAGGTGTGTTTGAGGGGGGAGGTTCGGGGGAGGCTGGCGTTGAGGTGAGACAATTCAGCCAGAGGACCGTTGGGGAGGCTGGGTCGATGCTGAAACAACAAAGGGACGCTGTATGTTAGAAAGATCTCTCGTCCCCGGCTTGAGCTTCAATCTGAGGATCCATGTATTTATGATCCTCTCAAGTCCGGATGCTCTTCTCGGTAATCATACATCCTGTCTAGGGGTCGACCGATTATTGAGGCCGATATTCCGCATTTGACCGATTATCGGTATCGGCTTTTTTTTTTATCAAATTGCCGATAAAACTTTGGCTCTGATGCGGCCGTTTCTCTGGCTGCAGTCACCACTCTGTGTTCACGAGCAATGTCCCGCCCACAGCGCTATCTGATAGGCTATTACTGAAGTGTCAATCAACACTGAAGATTTTCCGGGCTGCAGCCAGCCAGAGGCGGGACCTTCTCAGATTACAGGCAGGTGCAAAAGAACACAGACAGAAGCAAGCAGCAGCGCTGAGCGGCAGAACCATACATGTGTTTCGAAGGTAAGTCAGTTGAAAGCCGAAGTTCAATAAACATCCCAATCCTCTATGCAAAAAGCTGAAGTTGCAAAAACACCACGATCTTATGATCCAATTCTATCAGTTTCCCAGTTACACTGAAAATGCCCGAATAATGCACTTTGTTGCAGTTAACTAGAAAGAGATTGATGCATAGCCAGCCAGTTTGTGTTATTCTACATTTTGAGACCAAGATTTTCAGATTTTACTGCAAATGTATATCGGTTCCAAATATCGGTTATCGGTCTCCTTGATTACTAATAATCTGTATCGGTATCGGCCTTGAAAAAGCCATATCGGTCGATCCCTAATCCTGTCATGTACACAGCTACAGTTGGGATACCTTTGTTATCATGTGAACTCTGATATTGGAAGAGTACATTCAGAATTGCCCCAACACTTTAGCTGTGAGGGTACATCAGGGCCGGGGTCCACATAGCGTGTCTTTTTCTAAAAACTAGCTTATTTTTTTATGGTTTTCAAAGAGATAAGGCATAAGCCGTCACATTCAGCCGCCTCAACGACTTATAAGATGGGTTTTTCGGTGTCTGGACTTTTCGAGGTAATTACACAGTCCCAAACGAGTGTTCCCTCAAGAGAGACGCCGTCTTAAAGTAACAGTACAACAGGTAACAGAGATGGAGAGACACAGCCAACAACTCCAACAAAGTGGATCAAAAGTAGGCGAGTTAATAAACGATGCCAATTTTAAGATAATGGTGATCAACGAAGCAGAGTCATCAAACAACTGTCGAGCAGCATAGAAATGTTGTGTTACTGAGTGTAACGTTAGAAGATGGCGAGCCCAAAAAGTTAAATACAATTATTTTCTTTATAAAAACAAGATTTGGTCTTCAAAACTGTATTTTTCCAAAAATCAGTCTTGAAAAAGAGGGCTCGTCTGCACCCGTTAAAGGGGACCTATCATGCAAAATGCGCTTTTTGATGTCTTCTATACATAAATGTGTCCCCGGTGTGTCAGGGAACTCACGCAGCGTCAGAAAATAAAACCCTCTCTCTTTTCCTCCGTACCCAAATCTCTAAAAACGGGGAACAACGGAGCTGATCCAGATTTGCGTCCGATATGACGTAATATCTGAAATGTGGACCCACGGCCCAATCAGAAACGTTGCTATCAGAAACAATGGCCGACTGTTTTGGACGTAATATGGTCGGTGTTTACATTAGCATCGCTAACACTCAGAGCTAACCTGTACTGGAGAGCATGTGTGTGAAGAAGCAGGAAGTAGAAAGGAACTCACCTTGTGGTATAACCGGCAAGAGAGAAAGCCTTTGAGCTCCAAACTGTTTCAGAGAGAATCCTTGATCATCCATGATATGGCGTTTCATCACGGCAGCATTTAGTTTAGACAGTAGCTGCCGGGTCCCGCATGAGCTCAGACCCCTCCTCTATTATTTGTATCAATTTATTTTTAAAGCTTTATACCAAAATCAGCACTTTTGAAACAGGAAGTGAAATAGAGGGATGTGAGGCATGGCTAGAATGATCTGTTTGGTATTTGGAGTAAAACACTTCATAGACATGTTTTTTATATATTTATATATCTGAGACCTGTGCTATTGCCTAAAAATAGCATGATAGGTGACCTTTAAGTTTATTTATTTTTATTTATATATTTTGTATGTTCTTTCCCACTATGACTATGTATGTCATTAAGTATGGTATTCCTGTCATGTTTTCTTTATTATTTATTGTTTGTCTTCTATGTTGAAAAAGGGAAGCATGACTTCCACCCCAAAGAAGTCTGCACTATTGCTTCTTCTCAATACAAATATTTGACGAAATAGAGGGGTCGTCTTATATTCGGGTCAATACGGTTATATAAATATAGCAGTTCAGTAGGATATAAGGTGCCTGTGTGTACCTGATGCTGCTGCATGAGGACAAACTGCTGCTCCAGATGCTCCAGGATCTGAACCTGAGGAGGCTTGAGGTTCGCTCGGTTCGACCGCAAGTGATCAAGGTTCTGCAGATTAATCACAGAGTTAGTGATGCAGAAGCTCACAGTCATATTTCAATTTGAATTACAATTGAAATGCATGCTGAATATTATATATTGCAGTAAAAGAAATGCCCACACAAATGAGTCAAATGTGACGAGAGCAACAAATGAAAAACACTTCTTATGGTCGAAGCACAAGGATGTTATTTTCATATACTGTAGAAATGTTGGATGTTAAAAGTATAAGTAAGACCATGTGTGGTTTAATATATTTGAAAATATCTGAATGAAGTGGTATACATCTGCAGAATCCCAGCATAACAAAATAGTTTCCTTCAAACTTAAATGTATGTTTTATTAAATTATAACGATATGGTGCATGGTTTTGCAAAAATTGTCATTCTCTAATATTGCAAATACATTGCTATTGCCATTTCCAGATAATCACAATTATTGCACATTTATTAACATAATTATTGTTTTGCAGCCCTAGTGAAATATCAATAATAAAAGCCACCCTAGTGAAGGTCTTCTTATATATTGCAAACAAAAAAATTGCCACACAGGGTTAATTTAAACTAGTAATTGTTCTTAAATTGTGCAGCCCTTTGTAGTCAAGATAAGCAATTAATTGACTTATCGTATGATAACTAAAAAGGAAGTCGATAACTTTTCTGAACTCGATAAATTGACGTTTACATGCGTGTTTGTTTACATAAGGATGTGACCAGCATTTTGGCCCGGCGCGCTGTGGGCCACTCTACCGGCCAGGCGCCCTGTGGCTGCCGGTAGACACAGCGAGCCTGGCCGGCAGTCACAGCGCGCCGGGCCGGCAGTCACAGCGCGCCGGGCCGGCAGTCACAGCGCGCCGGGCCGGCAGACACAGCGTGCCGGGCCGGCAGACACAGCGAGCCTGGCCGGCAGTCACAGCGCGCCGGGCCGGCAGTCACAGCGCGCCGGGCCGGCAGACACAGCGAGCCTGGCCGGCAGACACAGCGAGCCTGGCCGGCAGACACAGCGAAGCCTGGCCGGCAGACACAGCGAGCCTGGCGGCAGTCACAGCGAGCCTGGCCGGCAGACACAGCGAGCCTGGCCGGCAGTCACAGCGAGCCTGGCCGGCAGACCACAGCGAGCCTGGCCGGCAAACACAGCGAGCCCTGGCCGGCAGACACAGCGAGCCTGGCCGGCAGGCACAGCGAGCCGGGCCGGCAGACACAGCGAGCCTGGCCGGCAGACACAGCGAGCCTGGCCGGCAGTCACAGCGAGCCTGGCCGGCAGACACAGCGAGCCTGGCCGGCAGTCACAGCGAGCCTGGCCGGCAGACACAGCGAGCCTGGCCGGCAGTCACAGCGCGCCTGGCCGGCAGACACAGCGAGCCTGGCCGGCAGTCACAGCGCGCCTGGCCGGCAGACACAGCGAGCCTGGCCGGCAGACACAGCGAGCCTGGCCGGCAGTCACAGCGCGCCGGGCCGGCAGTCACAGCGTGCCGGGCCGGCAGAGACCACTCTACCGACCCGGCGCGCTGTGAGGGGCGGGGCTCACACACAGCCAGGTCAGGACACTCCGCGTGCAACAGGGTGAAGCAGCCAAATGAATATAGAGACAAGCAGGAGACAACGTGTGACTTACTCGAGGGGAATTTGAAGTTAAATGGAATTGGTTGCTAAACCTAATTCCACATCTCCGGAGTGGGAATATTTTGGATTTAAGCCAAATCAACGAGGCGAACCTACGGACTTGAATGAGCCGTTATGTCGCATTTGTTTTAAAAAAGTAGCGACAAAAGCTAACAATACGACCAACCTTAAACTGCACCTGAAACACAACCACCGCATTCCGTTTCCCAGCTGGGAGCAAACACGGCAGCTCGAGAAGGAGAGCTTACTTTCATTTTAAAAAAACATTTGTTACGATTGCGTGTTTTGGAGAGAGCTCTGTTTTCCAGCCTGAGTCTATTTAATGTATTGTTTTGGTTGTGTGTGATTTATTTCATACATTTTTTATAATTTAATTTATTTGTTTTATTTATTATATATAATTTATATATTTAAATATTATTTCACATTTCATTTTTAATGTTCAATGTTCAATAAAAAAGGATGTACTTGAATTATTATTATATATCATCATGTCAGTGGTCTAAATGGTCTTACAGCGGTGCCGACAATATTATCGTCCGGGAAAAAGTATCGTCCAACAAAATTAATTATCGTGACGGGCCTAGCCCTTTGCAGGACTTATAATATATTGCATGAAAGAAGAAATGGCTGCACAAGTGATTAAAACGCGACAGGAGCAACAAATGTCGTGTCAAATGATCATATAATCATTTAAAACAGTCTTATACTCTGATTGCCTTTTGTTAAATTGTATTGTTAGTCTTGTATGTGTTTAACAGAGACGTATGTTAAGGGTTTACATTTCAGGAGGCAAAGGAAGTAAAAGGTGGATTTTAAATGGTTAAGGACTGGGGGGTTTGATGATGTAATGATGGGATGGAGGAGCAGCCGTTTCCTCTCATGAAGATACAGAGAGACTGTGAGCTTCTCTATCCTCTGAGAATGAAACATGGGACGGAGTTTCATTGATTTGGGCATTCTCATAATAAGCAAGTGGAATGGATTTGATAATGAAGCACTGACACAGCACTCTACTATCTACTATGTTTCCGCATAGTAAAAGTGTGGGGGGGGGGGGGGTCTAAACTAATCATTTGAAGAGGGGGGGACTTGTCCCACCCTCATACAATGGCTGCGACGCCCATGTATTACACACATCTAAACTAGGGATGTGTCCTACCTGGAGCTTCTGTGGCGTCAGGTACCAGCTGGGGATCTGCTGCTGCTGGGTGTTTATGCTTTCCAGCGACTCTCCAGCACCCTGAGAGAAAGAGAGACAACACAACGTCTTAAATCATGGCTCCACTTCTCAATAATGGTGCAGAATATCATTGTTTAGAGTTTCATCTGTACCTTAGCCGGGCTGGAGGTCCGTTTCCTCTTCGCTGGACTGGCCTGAGGGTCTGTGTGATTACTTTCCTCTGCTTTACAGGCCTTTAAAGCCACAACAGACACACATAGTGAGGACCAATGGACTCACAACAACAACAACAAACTCCCTCCTTATGCAAACTACTTTTCAGATTTGCTCTCAAGTGGTGTTTCAAACAGCGTCAGACAGGCATAAAAACTGTTCTGCAAAATTATGAATATATTTGAACAGCAATGTGTGTCTTCAAATGTTGCATTATGACAATACTCTGATTAATACGGTTAGTGTTATCACCTTAATCCAATTAAGAGGTGATGATTAAGGTCATAATTAGGGCTGCACAATAAAAAAGTATCAATATTGCCTAATGTGATATTTAAATGGCAGTAATTATATTTGCAATTTGCTGAAGAGCCACGGCAAAAATGTTAATTAACAATAAAATCCTTTAAATGTATTTTTAATAATACAAAAAAATTAAATAAATATTCCAATTACTGTTTAATAATATTAAATAATTATATATCTATTATTTTGTATTATTAAATGATTAAAAAAGAATGTTAAAATATATATATATTCCCTCTAACATTGCGATTTCAAATTTGCAATTGCAATATAATAGAAATATTTAATACTAAATGATAAACAATTAAAAAAAAAAAGAATTAAACGTAAATTAATAATAAAATCCCTTTAAATGTATTTTTAACAATACAAAAAAAGTAAACAAATATTCGAATTATTATTAAATAATATTACATATTTATTTGTCTATTATTTTGTATTATTGAATAATGTAAAAAAATTCCCTCTAATAGATGAGAGTAACACATGCGTCACTTCCGGGCGAAAATTACGGCCCCACCCACTTTTGGGGGAAAACAACGCTGTCATATGAACGGCGGTCACTACACATTCTGAAGTTTTTGCCAATCAGATCAGAAATTTAGGAAAACCGTGGATTCTTGGATCTTCAAAGAGCCCGATTACGATGGCCAGACAGGCAATCAATTACATGAACTCATTTGATATCGACGATCGGGCTCGATATATGGTTAAATAAAAATCAGTAGGCGAGGCTGTTACTCTCATGAGCGAGGCGGAAAATAATTGTTTTATCATTCCAAAAAGCTGCTGTGTCGTTTACTGCACCTCAAACATTTAAAAACAAATCCAGAGTTACGTGTTTCTGAACTTCCTCTAAGAACAAAGGAGCTCTGTGGCTTCAGGCTCGATCGCCATTCAAATGACTGCGTTGGTTTCCCCCCAAAAGTGGGCGGGGCCGTAAAGTGACGTAGACGTTACTCTCATCTATGGACACCGATCGCCTACTGCTATATTTAACCATATATCGAGCCTGATCGTCGATTTCCAATGATTGAATGTAATGGTTTGCCTGTCTGGCCATCGTAATCGGGTTCTTTGAAGATCCACAAATCCACGGTTTTCTTAAATTTCTGATCTAATTGGCAAAAACTTCAGAATTTGTATTGAATTCAAATGACAGCTTTGCATTCCCCCAAAAGTGGGCGGAGCCGTACTTTTTGCCCGGAAGCATGTGTCACTCGTGTATATTGCGATTTAATATGTGCAATTGCAATATTAGACAATATAAATAATAATAAACAATTATATTTTGAATGTATTGTAGAGATAATCAGAGTACTCATGCTGTCACAATGCAACATTAGTTAGTTGCATTAGTCGGGGTTGTTTGGACATGCAGACCATGTTGCTGACTGGTTGTTTACACATTCTCGAAACTGCGATGGGTTGCAACAACAATTTTGTTTACAGATAACATTTGGTTGTTTACTAGTTACTGTATTCTATAAAAAGTACATTTATGTTACTCCTGTCTGTTTGTTGATTAAATCAAGCACGTGATGAGCAGGATGTTGTTGGGAGCCAAAAGAGGATGATGGCGTTGATAATTATAAACAAAAGTGCATGAAAACAGAGGACCAAAACAACTGATATGTTGATGGTAGGGCACTAGTAAGATTTCAATTATATATGATTAACTTTTAGCTTCAACAGTGTCAAATAAATGACACAAAATGCATGCATTTATAACATGAAGCGGCTCTATAGAGTGGTGCAGGGATGAGTCCTAAAGTTAGCATTTTAGCACATCTGGTTTCCCCGGTCTGGAAGTCAATGGTTCTGTGAATAGGTTTTTGGTTGTTATCCTGATATAAGGTCTGTGGTTAACAACATCTGACTTATTTTATTCCACAACATAAAATACATCAGTAAATACCCCACTGGTGAATTTAAAAACGGCGCTTGATAACAAGTGTTTAAATGAGACGACTAAACGTCATCACGCCCAACGATAGCCACCTTTAGCTTAGCGGTGGTGACGTGAAGTCATGTGACCGTGCTGTAGTTCCTTTATAGCCCAACATTAGCCTCCTTTAGCTTAGCGGTGGTGAAGTGAAGTCATGTGACCGTGCTGTAGTTCCTTTATAACCCAACATTAGCCACCTTTAGCTTAGCGGTGGTGAAGTGAAGTCATGTGACCGTGCTGTAGTTCCTTTATAGCCCAACGTTAGCCTCCTTTAGCTTAGCAGTGGTGAAGTGAAGTCATGTGACCGTGCTGTAGTTCCTTTATAGCCCAACATTAGCTGTTAGAGTTTTGTCTGTATTATTCCAATACACATGGAGAAATACCATTGGCTGTTAATGGAGAGAACCAGGGAGATGCTAATATGTCATCACTGCTCCACTCTATGAGGGTCAACTAAACTCTGGTAATTAGATTATTATAATATGGGCCTTGCTCCAATTCCTTAAGATGGTTTCCCACATTTCGCTCATAACCTCTGAACGAATCGGAGCAAGGCCTCAGCTTTATCAGTCCTCATATATATGCTATGTTCGAGTAATATGACAAAGTGTGTGTGTTGTCTGGTATGAGCTGGTCTCACCTGCTCCTGTGCAGTGCTCAGGGCCCCCTGCCGGGACGTGAGCTCAGCAGGAATGGGTAAACTCCACGCCTCTTCAATACTAGGAAGCATTTTACTCTTATTCTGCAGACTACCTGGCTGTTGGTTACACAACTGAGCCTAGGAGAAATTGTGTAAGACACAAACTTTTAGTGCTGAACTCGACAGGAAAAAGCCAACTACAGAGTCTACGTAGAGGTGAGTGTTTGCAGAATATAACAGAAATGTTCAATGCCATGAAGGTATGTTTTACAATTACAAGTGAGAAAAATGTGTTTAAAAACACACCAATATGAATCAGTATTCATATCTCAGTGGTCAGAAATCAAAATGAGAAAAAAGCAGATATCTTTGGCTACACACACACACACACACACACACACACACACACACACACACACACACACACACACACACACACACACACACACACACACACACACACACACACACACACACACACACACACACACACACACACACACACACACACACACACACACACACACACACACACACACACACACACACACACACACACACACACACACACACACACACACACACACACACACACACACACACACACACACACACACACACACACACACACACACACACACACACACACACACACACACACACACACACACACACACACACACACACACACACCACACACCCACACACACACACACACACACACACACACACACACACACACACACACACACACACACACACACACACACACACACTACGGGTTCCCAGCATATAGAAACTGCCGGATTCTAACTTTCATATGTTGGGCAATATGCACAATTAGCACAAGTTGCATTAATTGGCATTGTAACCTCTGCAGACAATAGTTAGAGGATGGCTTGGTCATTGGGGGTCATTGAGGATGCTGAGATTAATTCTGACATTTACAAGGTCAGAAATGGCAGGTTTAACCAGAAAGTGGCCATATTTGTACTCTGATTTTGATGAATTTTGGGTCAATTTGGAAGTTTGAGGGGACTCTGGATCTGAGTGACTTCTTATTTATTTTGAGAAGAAAGCCGTTATACATATCTATTGGTTGCAGAGCTACTCATGGTAGTCAAAATAAGCCCACAGATAGTACAAATATGGCCACTTTCTAGTTAAAACTGACATTTTTGATCCTGAAACTGTCAGAAATGCATTCAGCCTCCTCAATAACCCCCAAAACCCACCACCAAATCTTCCAAGTAATTGTTTAGTTATTGTCCACATGCGCTATCAAGCCATTAAGACTTATTACACCATGAACATTGGATAAGATGCACATTCAAAAAAGGACAATGAGAAGGGGAGGGTTTCAATGTATACTGTTCCCTTATTGCAAATGTTTCCTACTCCCTGTAACTGCAAGTCTAATTCCTTGTAACTGGTGAAATGTTCTGTCAACTTATGCTAATTGTGCACATTTCCCAACAAAGTGAGTTAGCATCCGGCAGTTTCCAAATACTGGGACCCGTGCTATACATTTCTAACATGAAACGTTAGGTTTCTCCACATCTCCTTGTTCCCGGTGCTGGAACCCAGCCTCCGAAGAGCTCCTACCTGCAGCAGCTTGATCCTCTGAGTGAGAGCAGCCGTGTTGAGGCAGGCTTTGCTCCGCGTGGCGTTGATGTAGCACTTGATGGCGTCGTGCGGCTGCCCGCAGGACTCGTACAGCGTGCCCAGGTCCATCCAGGCTGCCGCGTGGCTGTGGTCCAGCTGAACCGCACAGATATACGCCTGCAGAGCGTCCATAGGCTGGTTCTGCTGCTGGTACAGAACCCTGCAGGACACAAGAGGGGGAAGTGAGTCTCTGCCGTCTTTAAAGAGCTCCCATCATGCTATTTTTCTCTGACATCTTCCAGGATTTAGGTCTCTATCCTCCAAACTCTCACAGGACATACTCCAACCTTAATACATCTATCTATAGATCCTCTCTTCCTGTTCCCTATGTCCTCTGTCAAAATGCAGCTGCTGTTTCTCCATGATAGCCAGTGACGTCCTTGAACAAGTAAATTGGGATTTCCTATCCAGTATCAGCTGTTTGTCACCGATAACAGACATATTTAGTCCCCCTAGTCCAGGGGTCGGCAACCCCTGGCACCGTAACCAGTGGCACACTAGGAATAAGTGGATTAAGTGTGCAAATTATTTAAATTGTATTTTCGGATCCTGAACAAGACCGCCGCCAAAGCGCGTCTCCCCGTTACCTGCAGAAGGAAGCCATGCACGCAACGCAGCCCCGCTCTCTTTATCTCCAGGCGACTTTCTGCCGCTTTCCTCCGTGGAGCAGATCGTTTCACCACGGAGGAAAGCACTTCACTAACTGCAGTACCCATAAGGAGCTGTGCAAATGCCGCAGTTTTTGCTTGGCTGTGTCTTTAGTTGAAAGCCCAGTGGCGATCTGCTCATCTCTCATCGAAATAATATGCTACAAAGGGGCGGACTGGCCATCTGTGAGTTGAACTTTCCTGTCGGCTCCCAGACCGTAGTTGAGGAGCGCAGAAGCAACAAGCTTCAGGTTCAATAACCCACTTTAGCTTCAATGACTGGAGAGAGGCGAGCTCTTCTGTTTCACAAAATACATCACAGACCTCTGTTTTTCTGCTTCCTCGTTTCACTTCCAGAAACAAACACACGTTCTCTCCATAGGTTCCCTCACTGTCGCTCTACCATCCACACACACATGCACAAGCCACACCCCTCTCTCTCTCTCTCTCTCTCTTAAAGGGACAGCGATCTCATCTCACTCTGCATGACCCTAATATCATAACATGTGTGTTCTGGAGAATCACAGAACGGACGATCGTCCTTATTATTATGCCGTTTAAACCAATTATTTAAATGTGTTTGTTAAATTCGGCAGCATGTAAGTTGCGCTGACAGGTCCACACACCGCTCCCCCGCAGCGAGGCTCCCCCGCAGCGAGGCTCCCCCGCAGCGAGGCTCCCCCGCAGCGAGGCTCCCCCCGCCCTCCTGCTGAGTTGACGAGCGTCAAGCTCCTCAACCCGCCCCCCCCCCCGTTGATAATTCTCGATCGTTGGCACGCCGATACAATTTTTTTTTTTAAATGGCACTTCATATCAAAAAGGTTGCCGACCCCTGCCCTAGTCACATGTCTCTTTCTTCTACATTGAAAACGTAAAGGCATCCTTTGTAGTGGCTAAACCTGCATCGCATATACGAATATTTGTGATTATTTCCTCACCTTTATACCATATCTGTTTGAAATAAGTAATCAACATCTACACACTAAGGTGAGCTATGCAAGAGAAACATTGCTAAGCATAATCAGCTGGAACTGGTGAAGAAATACAGCTAGAAAGTCTCTGAAACATATTGCCACTCTGCTCATTGGCATTCGTCAGTCATTTCCTGTTTCCACCGGGCTCAATAAACACAGAAGACTGGTATGTTTTCTAGAGCGGATTTCCGTGGTGCATTTGACCACATGTGCCTTTCATTTTATTCTAATGGCAGCTTCCCCTTGAACAACTATATTCTAAATCTACAAGCCTTGATGATCAAATAGTTGTTGTCCAGTAGATAATGTGATTAGACCTTCTCCCATTTGTCCAGGACAAGTACAGCAACTGATGGCGCATTTCCACTGCAGCGCGGTTTAAGCGTGCCGTGCCAAACCCGGCCCGTTTTTTTTTTTGCTCTTCCACTAGGGGTAGTTCCGGCTCAGGGATATTTTTCACCTTTTTCTGGCCCTCCAAAATCGAGGATCTTACCGGGTACATGAATTAATGCTTTGACAAGTCTGCAGACAGACGGCAGGCGAAGAACCTTTTAAAATGCGTGTTTTCTAAATGGAGCTTGGCTAAGCTAACGTTATATATGCTCCGACTGTCCACACTCACAACAACGGCCTACAGACATAAATAAAGCAGCGACTGTATTCGCCATGACACAGGCAGTCTGTGGTTTGTACTTGTTTAACTTTTGTCTAGTTTCTGAACAGATATGAGGAGCTGTGAGCTCTGAGTGCTAACAGCTAACGGCTGATGTTGGTTGTGTGCTCCGCCTACACTGCGTTACTATAGTTACTGCCCCAGCTACTAAACTGTAATGGAAACGCAGTATAAAGTGAGACAGGCCTACCTGCAGGCCCTGCGGTGGAAATGCGCCATTACATATACTATAAAATAAACTTGTTACGTGTTCTTACCCTATGGAGCACCAGGTGTCAGCGCTGGCCTCTGACTTATCGATGGACTGACGGTAAGAGATGAAGGCATCCTGCACCTTCCCTATACTGGAGTAGCACCTGGAGGGAGAGAAACAACACTTTAGATATACAAAAGCATAGTAACGCTTGCATGTGAAAATGCAATGCAGTTGAGTAGAGGATATGAGACGAAATGTATTTGGCAACTCTCACTGCAGTAACAAATAGACACAATACAATTTATGACTTTAGGGAGAATGTGGCTCAGTGGTTAGAGCGCTGGACTTCAAATCAGGGGTCACAGGTTCAAACCCCACTGCAGTCAGCATGTCGTTGTGTCCCTGAGACCCTTCACCCCAAAGTGCTCCTGTGGGGATTGCCCTCAGTATTGAGTATGTGAGTCGCTTTGGATAAAAGCGTCTAACAAGTGACATGTGTTAATATCATTAAGTCTTAAATTCATGGGCCTGCAGTCGATATCACACAATATCCTATCACCATTTAACACCATCACTAAAATAGTGTCTTTACTGGGCTCATACAGACATTTAAAAAAACAAAAAAATATCTATTCTTTCAATTAGTTCACTTAGAGCTGCACGATATATCGCGTCGTGACGATAATCACATCGCAGGACTTGCGATATTAAGTAGGCAAATTAACTCAAACACGTCATGTTACAATTATTTTGCTGCTTGCTACAAAAGGAAAACTCTCATGTCAGGGTGAGTGAGTGAGTGACAGCAAACCACCAATCACAATCAAATCTCAAAGCAAACGGACCCCGTGATCAAAGGTAGAAGCACTGAATAAAGTGGTTTCATGTGTTTCTCCAGTTCGGCGCTGCTAACCGAGCTAGCTCAGCTCGTTGCTCTGATAACTTAAGATCCAGACGTCCGTGGCTAAAATCCTTCATCCGGTTAAATATAGTTAGAAAAATACCAATTGTATCATTACAGTTCAAGAAAGGATGGATTGGGACAAAAAAACTGGTCTTTTCTTCAATTCCTGTATTTTTTTAATGCTGCACGAAACTAAGTGCCATATTGTACGTATGTTTAAGCACCGTTTCATGGTAATGAAGAAAGTGGCCTTGGACGTTACACGAAGACACATATATGCAAGTTAAAAATAAACAGACATCTTAAAGCTTTAGTAGTCTCATTGAGAAACCTAATAGACCTTATTTCTTCTTGGCTTCTGACAGAAAACACATTCATAACCCATTGCTCAAGGTGGGGTGCCTGAACAAAGGGTAATACTACATGTAACTGTGCAGCGTCAAAAGGGGAAAACACAACGACACTGTCATGCAGCGTTTTAATAACCAGGATGTAGCCTAGCTAACACCTTAAGGGACAGCATGGTTTGTGTTTATCTGCTCCAATGCATTCAGTCTGTTATTTAACCCTCGGGAGAAACCAGATTCAAACGGCGCAGGAAAAGGAGAACTTGTGTTTGGCTGAAGGTAATCACTGAACACCAATAACAGCTCATATAGCCAAGATATGATCAGTGGCAGATGGTAGGACACACACACACACACACACACACACACACACACACACACACACACACACCACACACACACACACACACACACACACACACACACACACACACACACACACACACACACACACACACACACACACACACACACACACACACACACACCACACACACACACACACACACACACACACACACACACACACACACACACACACACACACACACACACACACACACACACACACACACACACACACACACACACACACACACACACACTCTGACTCACAGACCATAATAACCTGAGAGGCTGTCCAACAACATCATCTGGGACCCAAAGCATGTTCTAACAGAGAATATAAACTGCTACCATCTAATGGAGATTGAATAAAGTCAGACTGAAGCATCCTTTGTGCTCCAGTCAGTCCTCTCAGTGAACACAGAGCTGAGTCCAGATCAGATGTACGCTGAAGGCTCTTTGAGCAGCTTTTCTCTCACTGATTGTGCTGCTATGTTTGTTTTTCATGTATTGTGTCTTGATATTTGTCTGTTGATGTTACACATGGAGCTGCTGTGATGCAAGTCACATTTCAGACTTGATCTGAGCATTAAAGTATTATCGTATCGTACCCGTGTTTGTTCTTACCTGCCGAGAAAGTACCAGGACTGTCCGGAGTTTGGGTCTGCTTCTAGAGACTTCTGCAGACACTGAATGGCATAGCTGTCCTTGGTGCCTTTATCCCCCAGCGTCTCCACCGTGTGATGCATCCAGCCTGCAGGAGCAGAGGCAAGGAAGACATAGATATAATCAAACACTTCTTACATAACTTCTGGCTTTGCTCCTGCACCTAAAGTGGCACTGGTGTACGGAGCAGAAGATGTAGAGTGGTGCAGATATGTATTTTAGAAGGCCTAACCTGAAGTGAGCACATCCCTGATTCCCTCCACAAAATCCAATTACACGCAGAATAATCTACATAAATAAACTACAGCACGGTCAAATGACTTCACGTCACCACCGCTAAGATAAAGGAGGCTAATGTTGGGCTATAAAGGAACTGCAGCACGGTCACATGACTTCACGTCACCACCGCTAAGCTAAAGGCGGCTAATGTTGGGCTATAAAGGAACTGCAGCACGGTCACATGACTTCACGTCACCACCGCTAAGCTAAAGGAGGCTAATGTTGGGCTATAAAGGAACTACAGCACGGTCACATGACTTCACGTCACCACCGCTAAGCTAAAGGTGGCTAATGTTGGGCTATAAAGGAACTACAGCACGGTCACATGACTTCACGTCACCACCGCTAAACTAAAGGAGGCTAATGTTGGGCTATAAAGGAACTACAGCACTATCACATGACTTCACGTCACCACCGCTAAGCTAAAGGAGGCTAATGTTGGGCTATAAAGGAACTACAGCACGGTCACATGACTTCACGTCACCACCGCTAAGCTAAAGGCGGCTAATGTTGGGCTATAAAGGAACTACAGCACGGTCACATGACTTCACGTCACCACCGCTAAACTAAAGGAGGCTAATGTTGGGCTATAAAGGAACTACAGCACTGTCACATGACTTCACGTAACCACCGCTAAGCTAAAGGAGGCTAATGTTGGGCTATAAAGGAACTACAGCACGGTCACATGACTTCACGTCACCACCGCTAAGCTAAAGGAGGCTAATGTTGGGCTATAAAGGAACTACAGCACGGTCACATGACTTCACGTCACCACCGCTAAGCTAAAGGAGGCTAATGTTGGGCTATAAAGGAACTACAGCACGGTCACATGACTTCACGTCACCACCGCTAAGCTAAAGGAGGCTAATGTTGGGCTATAAAGGAACTGCAGCACGGTCACATGACTTCACGTCACCACCGCTAAGCTAAAGGCGGCTAATGTTGGGCTATAAAGGAACTGCAGCACGGTCACATGACTTCACGTCACCACCGCTAAGCTAAAGGAGGCTAATGTTGGGCTATAAAGGAACTGCAGCACGGTCACATGACTTCACGTCACCACCGCTAAGCTAAAGGAGGCTAATGTTGGGCTATAAAGGAACTACAGCACGGTCACATGACTTCCCGTCACCACCGCTAAGCTAAAGGCGGCTAATGTTGGGCTATAAAGGAACTACTGCACGGTCACATGACTTCACGTCACCACCGCTAAGCTAAAGGTGGCTAATGTTGGGCTATAAAGGAACTACAGCACGGTCACATGACTTCACGTCACCACCGCTAAGCTAAAGGCGGCTAATGTTGGGCTATAAAGGAACTACAGCACGGTCACATGACTTCACGTCACCACCGCTAAGCTAAAGGTGGCTAAAGTTGGGCGGGATGACATCAAGTCGTCTCATTTGGACACTTGTTAGCAACCGCTGTTTAAAATTCACCAGTGGGGTATTTACTGACATATTTTATATATATCGTAGAACTAAATCTCTTCAGCTTGTAGTAACCACAGACCTTATTTCAAGTAGACAACCAAAAACACATTCAGTAAACCATAACTCTGCGGAAACAAAAGATAAGACTTGTGGTGCAACATTTTGGAAATACTCAAGGTGGAAACTTTCAATGGGAATAAATGGAAATGTTCACCCCTTTGCAACCCTAGATTTGACTGATAAACAACACCTTGGACAGCTCTCCAACCAAAGGGAGGAGGGGGGGAGACACACACACACACACACACACACACACACACACACACACACACACACTCACAGACACAGAGAGACACACACACACACACACACACACACACACTCACAGACACAGAGAGACACAGACACACACACTCACACACACTCACACACACACACACACACACACACACTGACACACACACACACACACACACACACACACACACACACACCAAACAACTCCTCCCTCCTCTACTACGGGTGCAGAAAACCACACACACTGTGCAGCAATGGGCAATTTACAGCACAAAAACACACCCCCCGCCATTTCTTCTCCTTTACACCTGTGGCAAGCTACACAGGTCGCCATGACAACCTCTGCAAACTAGACTGGGAATGATTGTTAGAAATGGGAGAGAGCGGGTGAGGAGAGAGAGGGGCGGCATCTACACAAAACGAAATCTCTCTGGCGTTTGCACAGGAAAATGTGTGTGTGTGTGTGTGTGTGTGTGTGTGTGTGTGTGTGTGTGTGTGTGTGTGTGTGTGTGTGTGTGTGTGTGTGTGTGTGTGTGTTTGAAGATAACCTTCTAGCTGCCTCTTATACTTATAAACTACTACTTATATAAAGAGTGGGCGATACATTCACACAAAAGCAAAGCGTTCTGTCTTAATTTCACACATTTCTAATATGAAAACTGCAAGAAAGGAACCTCTGATAAACAATTAAACGCAGGTTCATTGGAGCTTCATCATATTTGAAAACAGGTATTAAATGGCTCTCGCAATGCAACACAATAAAAACACAGAACTGTAGATCTAGGGAATTACATTTGTGTTGTAAGTGACGCTGAAAAGCTACTTTTTCCCACCCAAAAGCACCTGACTCTGAATAAAGACGTATCTGACACTTCTTCTGCAGCGTGCATCATGAAATCAAACTGCAAGGTAGCTGAAAGCATTGTTTAAGTTTAAAGGCTGAAAGACAACGCAAGAAATATGATGTCCTTTCATTACGGAGAGTTGGATTGTGAAGAGAAAAAACAAAAAGGCATACAAATCAACCCTGCATTGCTACAGGACAGTCATGAACGCCTTCTTAGTACTACAAAAGTATTTGTTTATTTCATTTATTTACATTCAAACATTTAAATCTAAACTCGAATGCTGTGCAGCTCATTTTTGAATGTCAATACCCAGCGTTTAACGCCTGCATGTGTGCACAATTGCAGATAAGCGTGAGGCTACACAGATATTTTACTACTTGTTGAATCACTGAAAACATAACAATTGCAGTGTGTGGTAAAAAAAAACATGTTTCTGTAGCATCAAATATAATAGCAAAATATTCACCAGTTAAGTCACAACATCATTTTGCACTTGAGTGCTTGTGTGTGTCTGCACAGTGTGGGGGAAGGGAACAGCAGAAAACAATGCTCTGATTGCCACACACACACACACACACACACACACACACACACACACACACACACACACACACACACACACACACACACACACACACACACACACACACACACACACACACACACACACACACACACACACACACACACACACACACACACACACACACACACACACACACACACACACACACACACACACACACACACACACACACACACACACACACACACAGAGAAAACTAAGTGGAAATAAATCTCCATTGAACAACGTGACGACCATAAATCCACAACACAGCATAATGCAATTCCTCCCTAAACAGTACAACAGTATTATGCATCATCCACACACAGTTCCACGTGTGCAGAGGTGAGTATTAGCCAATAAGAGTGGAGGAAACTCACCCAGTTGTTGCAGAGAGGTTGCCTTCACCTGTGCAGGAAGGTTCTCCGTCTGCAAGAGACTTTCATACGCTTCTTTCGCCGCTCTGTATTTCTTCTGCAGAGAGGAGAGAGTAAAACGAGCAAAACGAGAAGAGACGCAGAGTTTAGAGCCAGACAGCAGGGTTTTATGGTTCTTTCTGGACAGACACAAAGAGTCTTAAGACCTCCTCACACTCGTAATGACCAACACACACACACACACACACACACACACACGGGGGAGGGTCAGCAAAGAAGAGGACAGGCCAGACTCAACACGTCTGGAAGGGTTAAGTGTGTGTGTGTGTGTGTGTGTGTGTGTGTGTGTGTGTGTGTGTGTGTGTGTGTGTGTGTGTGTGTGTGTGTGTGTGTGTGTGTGTGTGTGGAACACCCCCTCCTCTCCTTGGTTGGAGGTCATTCGTGTCGTTTATCATCTAAATCTAGGTTCATCCATTTATTCCCATTTAAAGTCGTATCTTTTGTTTCCTCAGACATTATAGTTTGTGCTTTGTATTCACGTAGTTCTCTATATTACATATAATAACGTTGTCCAAGAATGAGTCCTAAAACCCAGGAATGAGTCAGCATTTTAGCACTTCCTGTCCAATGTTCTTGAAGTCAAAGGTTTTCTGTTTTTTGTTGTTTAGCACAAGCTGAAGAAATTTTAAAATGTGTTCTATGACATCAAATCAGTCAGGAGGTTGCTCAACGTCATCACGGCGCTTTGTGTTTTGAAACCTGATGTGGTCTGGAGGTGAGGAAAATAACCTTCTAGCTGCCTCTATACTTATATCCAGAGTAGTTAATACATTCACAAACCATTCTGTCTTAGTTCACACATTTCCAATATGAAAACGACCCAATGCAGGTTCATCGTATTAGAAAACAGGCACTCGGTAACCTCTCAGGTTTTCTCAATGTGTGTTTTGTTGTTAGCCTGACATAAAGTTTGGTGTAAACACAAGCTGGAGAGATTTTAAAGTTTTCTTCTATGACGTCAAATACGTCAATCCACTTGTGAATTTAAAAATGGAGGTTGCTGACAAGTGTCTAAATGAGACGACTAAACGTCATCACGGCGCTTTGTGTTTTGGGGAAACCTGATTCCTGATCAGTGTTTGTTTTAACTCTCCGACCTTATTGACCTTGGTTCACACACACACACACACACACACACACACACACACACACACACACACACACACACACACACACACACACACACACACACACACACACACACACACACACACACACACACACACACACACACACACACACACACACACACACACACACACACACACACACCTCTTCCTGTCTGCCCACCATAAAGACACCTCAGGGTAAACACAGACACTCAGGGACATAAATGAGGCTCTCTGAGAGGTTCCTTCCTGCCTAATGATCGTCCTGCAGACAGACGACAAACACGGATATGATCAAATATATAAATCATCAACTTAACTCCACTCAAGTAATAAGGACTAAGGAATAAGAAACTTGAACCAGTGCTGAACTTCTTCTGTCAAAGTCTTGTGTGTTTCAGGTTTCAGTCTGGCTTATTCATTTACATCTTAAAACACAATGAGATGCTTCTTTTTTTGTTTTGACTTGTGTGCATTATTACATTCAAATCAGCATGAGAGGCTATGTGTTAACACTCAATTGTGTTAAAGGTCCCATGTCATGCTTTTCTGGTTATCACCCGTCCCCTTGTGTTATGAAGGTTTGTCTGCATGTAAACGGTCTGCAGAGTCACAAACCCTCAAAGTACACCCTGCAGCGAGTAAACCTCTAACACAGAGAAGACCTGTCTCTGCTGCCCCAGAACGCCTCGTTGGACATTTCTCTTTCTCTTCCTGGGTACAGTGACGTGCCCATACCCAAATGGACCAACCCGTGGAGCCGTTACGTTACGTCCACAGAGCCGTTTCCTCACACACACACACACACACACACACACACTCAATCTTTTCTCAGCTGCAGCCCCACCGATTTCTCCTCCCTGAGACGGCGGGACGCGGCGAGACTGCAGGTGTGTGTGTGTGTGTGTTCGGGCTGTGTCTCGCTGTCTCGCAGACGGCCACTGGGCTCACAGGGGGGGGGGGGGGGGGGGGAGGAGCTCCAACAAGCCGTGTAGGACAGAGAGTGAATACACAGACTCTACAGAGATGCTGTGAGAAACCAATGTGAGTTTGGAACATTGAACAATGTGAATATATTCTAGTAGACCTCAACTATGGAATCATGATCAGTAGAAATGGCCGTGTCATGGGACCTTTAATGTTGTTTTTATAAATACTAAAAGAGCCAATTTCCCCGATTTAACCTCAAGGGCGGTCTACAATAAAGACTGAATATAACAGGTTGTTCATTAAGTGTTACAACAATAAACTGCACCCCATTTAAAAGAGAATTCGTCAAAAAAGGATTGCTTACCTGGATCTCATACAAATGAGCAATGTGGAACTGAACTGTGGAGGAAAAGCAGAAGAAAGAAAGGAATTAGAAAACTTTATTTATCCTGCGGGAATTTGGTTGGTTCATTTAGAGTAACATATAACAAAGTAAAAATATATATCAAAACACAAGAAGTAGGGTAAACATGTCTTAGAAAATATAAATAATTGTTCAAATAGTCATAAAGACATAAGTTAAGTAGAAACGTGCACATTATAAAACATAAATGTGTAAAGATTACAATAAGTCAAGAAAGGGGGTCTAGAGCAGGGGGGTCAAACTCAAACACACAGTGGGCCGGACTGGTTCAATGTTTCTTGCAGAACTTATTGAAATGAACTTATTGCACATATTAAACCTGGAACTAACAAAGCTTAAATGATTGCCTATAAAAACAACATTAAATAATCAGCTGCATTCATTTCTTACGGCTCTATCTGCAGCTTAGAGTCATTTCTTATGAGTACATTTCTCCACAGGCCAACAACAGCTTCAACAAAACTATTCCCCTCAAAGAGAAACCAAACATGCCCTGTTGTCCTGAGAGAGAAAGTGCAGAAGGAAGCATCCATTGAACTCAGTGTGCTGCTCTGTGATGCTAGCTCAGATACTTGGCATCTCTTCTTGGGAGCAAGGTCATCAATGTTTGGGCTCAGGCTCTGAGCGGAGGAGACCCTCAGGATGGAGTGAAGGTGTGAGAGCAATATACCGGAGGGCCAGATCTAATAGTTGTTAGAAATTATCCTGCGGGCCGAAATGAAATCCACCACGGGCCTGATTTGGCCCCCGGGCCTCGAGTTTGACTCATGTGCTCTAAAGCATCCTGGATATTAAAGTCGCTCCATTTAGACTAAAATATAACAAAAATAAATAAATGTATATAAGCATAAGAAGGAAGAGTAAAAATAGCCCATAAAACAGATAACAAATTGTCAAAAATATTTGTCTTAACGTAAGAAGTTTAATACAAAATGTGCACATTGTAGAATATATAACATACATGTGTATATCAGGAGATAAACAGGTCAAGAAAGAGGGACATTATATCACCCTATGGAGCTCAGTGAGAACAGATTGCAAACAGTATGGAGCGCAGATGGGAGGGGGAGTAGGACCGTATCCCCAGAGTGTGTGTGTGAGTGTGTGAGTGTCAGTTCTCTCTCCATGTACAGTCTCCTTGGCAACTCCACTCTCTGTTCGAGTCAGCAGGGGAACGGAGAGGAGAAACTGTTATGCAGAAATATTCCTGTGCCCTTTTCTGTGTGTGTGTGTGTGTGTGTGTGTGTGTGTGTGTGTGTGTGTGTGTGTGTGTGTGTGTGTGTGTGTGTGTGTGTGAGATTAACAGCTGACAGGCCGCTGCATCACATCTCTTATTGCATTACAGAGCAGCAGCATGAGGTAATTATAACCGATGGTTCTTACTTTCAGCTTTGGACAAAGTGCAGAGATTGGAGTCGATCAAAGCCAGCTGGAAATGCTGCAGAGACGAAACAAAAAAAAGCATTTTATTATAAAACCAGAACCAAAAATGTCGACTTTGACTTGGGTTGCACAATTTGAAGATAAGATTTGGAAATATAAGAGGTTATTGATGACTTTTGAAAACATTATTCACATTAAAAATACATGTCAATTTTGTTTTATACATTTTCTTAAGCATCTTTGAGCATTAGGAAAAGCGCTATAACAATCTAATGCATTATTATAATTATTATAATAAATGACCATGGTGTGATCACAGGAGCAAATCAGCACTTAAGTATTACGTTTGTAGAAAACCTGGACTTCTCCGTAGTTCAACAATACTTCATTCATACATGTTCACATATTTCATCTTTATCAAACATTGCGCTTTCTGCTATTGGATATTGCACTTATCCATATTGCCATTTCACAAACATGTAGAATCATTAATCAGCTTTTTTTGGCATAATCCACTGTCTGCATGTTCCTGTTACTAATAGTAAAACAAAAGTGACAGCAGGATCAAAATAAGCATCACTTAATTCCCGCTGAATGCCGTGACGCTTGCTGAGAAATCAGGGCTTTCCTACCATATAAACCATGAATGAAACCTGCTTAACGGAGTAACATGAAGGGACACTAAGAACCCTTACATATTCTCCTCTCTGCAACAATCATCCCTCTCCCCTCCCTCGAGTCAAATCAGGCGACACACTCCTCAAACCGAGACGCTTAAATCCAGCGGTTGCATCTGATCCCATCGTGTGAAATGAGGACAGTTGCCGGGTAGAACAGATGTCTGCAGAGGCTGTGAAGGCGTGGCTTCGACCAGCTCATATCACAATACAACACAAAGGGGCTTTATTGGCATGAGCGCATTTTAAACATAGGATTGCCAAAGCATTTTGCACAACAGAACTAAAAGAAACACTAAACATTAATGTCAACAATACATACAAAAAACACGAAACATACTGTATGTACCAACTACGTGCAAATAAAACAAAATATATATGTATGACTCGTTCCTCTCCTGACCCAACTTGCAAGCTGCAATACAACTCCATTACCTCCTCCATATGTTGGCATAGTTGCAATGAACAGCTATTGTCATTATCCATTGCTACTTCTCTAGAAATGTGAGTGAAAACTGTCCATATTAGTTCCCTAAGTCCAAGCTGATGTCTTTAAATATCTTATTTTGTCAATCCAAGGCTCAAAGATAATCATTTAATAGGAAGTCAACTGAGAAACGCAGGAATTTGAGGTCGTAAAACAGCATTTTTTAACACTCATGACTTAAAAAATGTATGTTTTATCTAAATAGTATTAGTAAGTCTATCCACGTATCGATTATTGACCAATCGTTGCAGCGCTAATGCTCACATGGTGCCGAGCGGTAGTGCTGCACGATTAATCGAAAAAAGATCGTGATCTCGATTCAGACACCTGTGCGATCTCATTTCTAAATTACGGCGATCCTGTGACGTCATGCTGATTTCTTTTTACATTTTTTATTATTTTGCTTCTGAATAATACCAACTTGTAATGTCAATCATACTTAAACGATGTAAAGCAAATATACTCTATACATTTAACATTCAAGTACCATGATCGCATGCAATGGTTCTGTCTCTCCTCCTCTCACGCAGTGTGAACGCTGCAGCCACTCGTGTTGCTGTATGATGTCCTTTTGTTGTTTATGTTTGTATGTCTTCTTGTGGAACCTACTGCTGCAGAAAAAGAGATCATTGATCTCAATGGGATTTTACCTGGATAAATAAAGGTTTTGAATTTAATTGAAGCCAGTTTTTGCAGAAGGAATAAGCAACCAGGTCGATGAAAACAAGCGCTGAGCACTTTAAACCTATATATGTCGGGTCGGCTATTTGAAAATAACCTACAAGCTCACAACCGCAACAACCATTATTACTTACTGCCAAGCCGCTTCACAGAAAGATAAGCCCAATGTGGCTTATCATAAGTATACCTGGCAACACTCACTGACTGCAGCACGTGAGGGCAGGAGCCGGCAGTATGTTCACAGAAGCGTTAGCATTAGCACTGATTAGCAAAGAGTGACGAGAGCGACTAGTAGTACAAGAAAAACAGAAATGAGTGACGAGGAGGTCGAGGACAATGACAACAACACCGATGAAAATCCCGGTGGCGACTCTGGCGAGAGTGAGAGGGAAGTTGTGCTTGAGCCGAAAAAAGGACCACATTCATCCAGTGTGTGGAACTTTTTTGGATTTGATCCTGATGATGACTTACAAAAAGTCGTCCACTGTAAGCATTGTTCTCGCATCGTCGCAACGACGTCCGGTAACACCACAAACCTATTAAATCACCTGCAACGTCACCATAAAATACAGTATGCTTTAGCAAAGAAGGACAACCCGGAAAAAAAATCAAACCCCCAGACAACGACGCAAACATCCATAAGTCAAACGTTATTCAACGGAACACCATATGCACACAGCTCACGAAGGCACAAAGAGATAACGAACGCCATCACCTTTTACTTGGCTAAGGATATGGCATCAATAAATACAGTTCAAAATGAAGGGTTACAAATTCTATTGTTTACGTTCAGCACTCAGGCAGCAGCAATATCTTTCTTTTAGTTACTGTATGTTTTGTTACCAGAGAGACTTGGATTTAAGTCAAGCACTTTGATGTTGATGGTGTCTGTTTAAAGCCACAATAGTTGGCTCCAGGTGCCACATTTTGAATGTAGGAATGTTTGTTCAGTATTCAGCAACTACAGACTAAAGTCAAAGTTATGTTTTTGTTACAAGAGAGACAAATGTTGTCTGTTTAAATTCATTGTACTCACGTGACGTCTAAGAGTAAGAGTGCAATACATATTTTCATTGAAACGATGAGAATCGTGTGAGAATCGTGATCTCAATTCTTATGGAGGAAAATCGTGATTCACATTTGAGCAAGAATCGTGCAGCACTACTGAGCGGACAGTATTCTGACCTCATGTTTCATTGTAGTGCATCAGAAGATACTCCTACAAGCACCTGATCTGATGAAGTCGATTTTAATGTCAGAAAAAAGTCAAAACGTCCATCTCAGTTTCTAAAAGTCCAAGGTGTTGCTTTTAAATGTCCCGCCAAAAGCCAAAGATATTAACTTTGATGGGATGTATCGCGGATACAAGCGGCCGAGATGGGTTTTCTCCGCAGGGTGGCTGGTGTCTCCCTTAGGGATAAGGTGAGAAGTTCGGTCATCAGGGAGGGACTCGGAGTTGAGCCGCTCCTCCTTCGCGTCGAAAGGAGCCAGTTGAGGTGGTTCGGGCACCTAGTTAGGATGCCACCTGGGCGCCTCCCTAGGGAGGTGTTCCAGGCACGTCCTGCTGGGAAGAGACCAAGGGGTAGACCTAGGACCAGGTGGAGGGATTATATCTCTTCGCTGGCCTGGGAGCGCCTTGGGACCCCCCAGTCAGAGCTGGTTGATGTGGGGAAAGGAACGTTTGGGGCTCTCTGCTGGAACTGCTACCCGACCACGGATAAGCGGGAGAAGATGGATGGATGGGATGTATAAAGAAATAAGGAGGAGAGCCCAGTATCTGAGAGGCTGGAAAGAGCATTTCATGACATCAAAAACGCAGATCAATTGATTCTCCAATTAGTCAGCTATCATTTCACTAATCCAATGTTCTCCAATGTTGACATGGAACTAAGTCACCATGATCCTGACCACAGGAACTGCAGACGGAAATGAACCGAAAGCATAGTCCTTGTTTAGGAAAGACAGCGTAGTGTTTCAGAGTGTTGCATCAGAAATGTGCAGAGCAGATAAAGATACTCCAACAAGCACCTGAACGGATAGAGCAGGAAGACTGTCTTAAGGCCCGGACACACCAAGCTGACACCAAAGACACAGACGGACCCTCCGACTGTTGTGTCGCCTCACGTCTCTGCGTCTTGGCCATGTGTCGCACTGGAACACACCGCAAAGACTTCAGCCAAGCAGCACGTACGAGCTGCGCATGCGTGAGTGGCAATACCTCTCCTTACCAGCAGGCGGCGGTAGTGTGTATTCGTCATTCAAAAGAGGCAACAACCGGAAGACAGACTGCGTGATAACCGAGAGAAGAAGAACAGACTGCGTGACATAAACAAACAACAAATAGCGTTCCATTTTCACTCTCCAGCGAGAAGCTCACGGGGCTTTCCCGAACCTGAGTCGAGAGCTGGAGGTAAATGAAATCTCACATTTGCCTTCTTAATAGTTTGTTTGGGTCCCTCACTTCCATTTCGCTTCTCATGCACTGATTCTCTAAGCTGAACAGCCAATCGGAGTGATTTATTTTGCCGACAGCCTTTGGCCGATTACCCACCGATTCGACATGTTGAATCGGTGGGTTTTCGGCTGAAAAGACACGACGGTGCGGGACACACCAATCTGAGTAGGGCGACAGGACGCTCATCGACGGCCAAAATCGGCTTGGTGTGTCCGTGCCTTTAAGCGATGAATTGTACTCCAGAAAATGCCAGAAAAAAGCTAAAAATGTCTATTTCAGTTTCTTAAAGTCCAAGGTGATGTCTTCAAATATCTAGTTGAGTCAGTCCAATGCCAAAGATGTTCACTTTAATGGGTTGTATAAAGAATCAAGGGGGAAATCCCTGTATTTGAGAGGCTGCATGTTTGCAATAAACAATTTATAATAATCAATTCTCCAAGTAGTCGGCTATTATTTGTGTTAAGCGATGAATGGTAATCCATAACATGTCAGATAATAGGGAAATATGTGCATCTCCGTTTCTTAAAGTCCAACGTGGTGTCTTTAAATATCTAGTTGTGTCCAAAACAGAAAGATATTCACTTTAATGATACCAAACAGAAAAGCACGACAATTTAGGGGCCGTTTCTTATATTTTCGAAATATTTAAAAAATACCTGAAATATGTTTTTCTGTCAATAAACTAATTGTTAAGTTGATTAATCGTTGCAGCTCTAATGTTGACATATCTATAAGACACCTCATGTCTAACCTCA